CCCCCACCCCCAACCCCCCTTCCTTGGGGGCTGGCTCCCTCGCTCGCTCGCACACTTGCAGCCGACTGGCAGGGTTGGTTGGCAGCCGGGAGGTCTCTCCGTCTGAAGCTACCCCTGAGTCCAAGGTTTTTGATGCCGCTCGGCCTTTGGCAGCAGAGGCATCGACCATTTACCCATCGACTCACCCACTGACCCAGCCACCCACTCACCCGGCCACCCACACAACCTTTGCTGCGTGGGGCGGTGCGGAACCAGTGGCGCTTTCTGCAGCCTCACCCCCACCTGGCACCTGCGTATTCAGCATGTTGCCCTCATCCCCACCCACATCCCTGCTGCCGCAGTGGGGCGTCATCCCGATCCAATACAGGGAGGTCGGCTGTGGCACGCAGCCAGAACAGCAGGCGACCGCGGGCGGCGGGGCATTCCCAGGCATCTTTCCTCCAGGCAAGGGGGTGGGCGGGGTTTGGGGGGGGGGGGCGTGCTCCCCGCCATTACCGGATGGTGGCAGCGAGACATGCCGGCCTGCAGCCATGCATGCGGCCGGCTAGTGCTGCCTTCATTGTCCCATCTGTACGCCTCGCCGGCCGCCGCTCGTGCCTTCGGCGTGGCCGAGCCCTTGGCCTGCTGCCTGCTGCGACAACGCTGTTTGGTGAACAACGTCGGCTAGACCTAGTGGCAGGCGGCAATTAGCTGCCACATCCGCCTGCCTTCGCACGGCCCATGCTTCCTGCCACCACCTCACGCGCTGCATCCCTTCCCCCACATTTTGACCCCAGTGGCTCTGGCTAAGTCTAGGTCAAACTTTGACTGGTACAAGTGAGTCAACGCAGGCTTTGACTGCCGCCCAAGTTTTGCCAACGTGCCGTTGCAAGTGCATGCTTGCTCGGCCCGAGTGGGGAGTGACTCCCCACTTGGCAGCGGTTTCGCACGATTTTGAGTGCTTGCACCAATGTGATCCCTTGTCAAGATGATGCCGCAGGGGCGCGTTTTCTGGCACCCAACGTGACCCCAGCCCACCAGACGGCTACTGCCCTGACAAAATTGAAACGCAGGTACTTCCCCAACGGCGGTTACACGGACCCCCGGTCAACTGGGGAGACCAAGCTCATCAGCACCAGCGAGTACCTGAACCGCGTCAACGGCGGAGGCGGCGGTGGCGGCGGCGGCAATGGGGCCGGCGGCGGCTCAGGGGGTGGGTGGTATGGGGGTTCCGGCTCCAGGAACGCGCAGTATGGGAAGAAGAAGTGAGCGGCGGCCGCGGGGTGTGCAATTATTACGCAGCACACCGCCACGCCGGCAGCACCCACACGATAAAGGCAGCTCAGAGCTCCCATAAAAGGCGGGGCTGCTGCATTTTTCGTCGCAGATCATGGACACTGAGGTTTTGAGTCATGGCAAGCAAGGCCGAGGGGTTTCCAAAAGCCCCCTGTGGGGTCACATTATGGGTTAGTCCTGGGGCTGGGTTGTTTGGCCACCATCCTGACGATATGACACGGACGATGCATGGTGTTTCACGAGCATGCTATGCAGCGCCGGATTCGGCAGCACGCGCGTGTATGTGCATGTTTGATCAAGGGTGCAGCAGTTCGCGCTCGTGCGCGGCCATCGCGACGTTTGATATGGAGCGGCGCGTGCCCCTGGAGAGTGGGCTGGAAGCTTCTAAGCTACCTAGCCGAGACAGCATTGCAATTACCGCACACAGGTTCTTTCCAGGACGGGGCAGAATTGACGTTTTGGGGCATGCGGGCTGCGACTATCTGATTGTTTGACCAGCAGCTGCGCGCCTAAAATCACTCGCCACACCCTGCAGCAGCCGCCCCACTCCCCCAGGAGCGGCGAGCTGCCTACAACAAGCGTGTTTCAAACGCTCGATTCAATTTAGTTTTGATTTCAAACCATTCTCAATTCTCACAATTCCCAGCTTGCCTGTTTTGATTGCACGTAGCCAACACACACCTAGCCACACACAGGCATCTTTGCCCTCGCTCCAATTGATCCTGTTTGATCAGAGAGCATTTGCTTGACTACAACCACAGGGGATTTGGCTCAGTTGACTCAGAAAGGACACATGTGAGCACACAACTAGTTGTCCAGCGACCACATTGTAATTGCCACATGATTGCGTTGTTCACTTGGTGCCTGGTGCCCGAGGTGAATTGTCTGCAAGCATTTGTGCGGGCACACCTGCCACAGCAGTAAAACAAAGCCTGCGTGCAAGAACTCAGCAGCAGCATTCTGAGCAACACAATCATGGCGGCATAGTTCCAGCAGGGTGGGCGCTGCGAGCATACCACACAACAAGATGGAATCATATGAGAGGGTGCTGCACCAGACACCCCTGCACCAGACACCCCTGCACCAGACACCCCTGCACCTATGTACCAGGGCGGCACATGTGGTCGCCATGCATGCAAAAGACTTCGCCAAACTGCAACAACATGGCCTGTCATATCCACCGCAACGGCTGCACCACAGCAGCAGCCAAGCGAGCCAGCACTGATGACACAACCGCTCAACACCTCAACACACCACACCGGCAGCAACACGTGCGCTCAATTCCAGGCTGCATCTTGACTTGGCCGGCCCCCAGCCGGTCGTGCAGCAAGCAAGCTGCACGCAGGCCCCAATGCACGCCGCAGCCGCAAAGGGCAGCCCCGTCGCTTTGGCGTGTTTGCCATTGCGAGATCGCCGGGCCAGCACGAGCGGCGCAACTGGAGCTGCGTGGGAGCCGTGTCTGCAGCGCCAAGGACTCCTTGGCTCGGAGCCAAGAGTTGCGGAGCCAGCACCCAACGACATTGTTCCAACACCCAAAGCCTGCATCAGCGAGACGTTCTCCGTCTTCCCCGCCTGCCGAACACAAATCGCAAGCCTTTCGCCCTGCACCCTTCAGCGCCTGGAGGCGGGCGCGAAGCCGTCCTCCATCTCCCCGGGCCGCGTGAGTGGCACGTAGCCCACCGCCATCATGGGGCGCGTCGTGACGGTGCCGTCGCGCGCCTTATCCACCACGGTCAAGAGCTGCGGTCAAACCACGTCGCGGCGGTGCACAAGCAGGCGTCAGGGGTCGCGTTGGCAGCACAGTGTGGGCACTGTTATCAACCACGTGTATTTCCTCCGAGGCCGGCAGCTGCCTAGGTCATAGTTGAGTGCTAGTCAGCCAACCAAAGTAGGTGAAAGGCTGCCTGCCGCCTGCCCGCATACACGCACGACGCCGGGCGCGCGAGCGAGCCGCACTCCCGCGGCCCCCGCACCTGGCTCGAGTAGCGCGGCCCGATGGGGATGACCATGCGGCCGCCGGGCGCGAGGGCGCCCACCAGCATGGCGTGCAGCTCGTCGGCCGCCGCCCCCACGTGGATTGCGTCAAAGGACGGCTCTCCATGCAGGAGGCCTGGTGTGTGTAGGCGCGCGCGCACGTGCGTGCGTGTGTGTGTGTGTGTGTGCGTGTGTGTGCGTGTGTGCGCGTGTGGGTGCGTGTGTGTTTGTGTTGAGGTGGAGGGGCAGGCATATTGGGTGGTGCGTGGGTGCTGAGGTGGTCGGGCTGAGTGCTTGCTGGTGTGTGTGTGTGTGGGGGGGGGGTGGGGGTGGGCAGTGTGAGTGATAGCAACTTGCTGGCCGCCTGCCCATCGCCGCAAAACGAGAGGCAGCGGGCGCTCATCGGCTGAGATCTCGCAGTTGTGCAGACGGCATGCAGCATCAGCCGGGGCAGCAGGGCAGTTTAGCCAGCGCGGTTCCCGTGGCCCCCTCCCCCCACCCCCTCTCACTGGATAACGCATTGCCGTGCACAATCTCCAGCACCGGTGCCGCCGCCGCCTCCCGCACCCCGTCGCCCCCGCCGCCGCCGCCGCCGTCCCCTGGAGCCGCCCCCGCCGGCGCCGCGTTGTCGCCCGCGCTGCTGCCGCGCCGCGCCGCGTGCGCCGTGGCAGCAGCTTCCGGCAGCAGGCCGGGCACGGCCGCGCGGACGCTGTCAACCGACCGCGCCGCGAGCTCGGGCACTTTCTCGACACCCAGGACGTGGCCGCCGGGTGACACCATGAGGGCCATGGCAGCTGCCAGGTAGCCGCTGCCGCTGCCGACGTCGAGCGCGCGGGCGCCCTGCAAGGCGGTGGGGGTGGCGAATACAGATACGCATACCAGAAGAAGCCAATTGGGCGGTCCGAGGCTAAGTGCATGTGCGCGGCCCTGCGGTCGGGCGCATCTCAAGCCGAGCGTCTGGCAGATGTAAGGGAAGGAAGGCGCTGACGCGGTCAGCCCATGCACAGCGGCGCTAGCTGGGCGCTACGCCCACGTCTCCTCGGCGCATGGGGCGGCCGCCGCGGCGCTGCGGCTCAACAGACGCGCACTAGCCAGAGAGCGGGGACCCCATTCCTGGCCCCTCAGGCCCTCCCCTCACCGGCACCAAGTGCCTCTCCAGGAGCTCCAGGCATATGGCGTGCATGTGGGGCGCGGAGATGGTCTGGGCGTAGCCGATGGGCAGGGGGCAGTCCTGCGGCGCGGCGGGCGGCAGGCAGCGCTCGCGTGCGTCGCAAAATTACGGAGTGTGACCTGCAGCCTGGAAACCTAAACCAGGCGTGTTGGCTGGCGGAGGGACAAGGTTTCGAGGAGGCCAGGCGGCCTGCCTGCCACGGGCCTGCCTCATGCGCCCGTGTTCATGTGCGCGCCCGATCGCTCGCAGCAAGCAATCAGCATCTCTCAAGCCGCGACCGTCAGGCGCGCCCTGGGGCGCACGCGCCCGCGCATGTGCACCTGGTACGCTTCGGCGGGCGACGCGAATGACGGATCGATGAACTGTTTCCGGTCCACCGCGCCTGCATCGAAATCAACATGGAGGGCGGGGTGTCGCCACTCGGATTGCCCGGGACCGTAAGAACGGGCGCGGCATCACGGCACCAGCAGGCAGCACTCGGGACCTGAGCAGACTGCGCGGCGCCCGCGCTGCGTCGGCTTCAGGGGCGGCCCGGCGGCGCGTCGAGCAGCATTGCAGGGGCCAGCCCGGGCCCCCCAAGGCAGATGGGCTGAGGAAGCGTTGCAGGCCCCAGAACTGCAACCCTGGCCCGCCCGCCCGCCGCCGCTCACGCAGGGCCACCTCGACTCGGCGCGTCTTGACCAGCTCAGACGCGATCTGGGTGAGAAGACGCGATATGAGTCGTCATCGAAAGGCGGAGGGGCACGAGCCATGCCGGCCCGATGGTGCCCATGGCGCAAGGGAGCGGCGGCTGGGGCCGGACGCACCGCGGCGCGGCAGTCGCACCCGCCGCCGGCGCCACGGGTGAGGGGACAAGAGATTATGGCCATGACGCAACAGACGGCCTCGCAGTTGGAGATTCAGTCATTGAATCGAGATGAGCTCCTTGAGGAAGCCCGGCTCCTGAAATTGCACCTACCAGATAGTTGACCAGTCTGTCCTGCCCAGAGGGCGCAGCGCCGCCGCCGCCGCCGCCGCCGCCGCTCCCGCCGCCGAAGAAGCGGCCGAGCCCCTGCATTCTGGCGGGCTGCAGCGGCGGGGCCTGCTGCTGTGGCTGCTGCTGCTGCTGAGGCCCTGCGGTGGGCGGTTGCTCTTCTCGGTATCGGCAGGGCTGGGGCGAGCTGGCGCGCCGGCGGCGGCGACGCGCTCGGCCGGCGGCGCTTTGGCGGTTGCTGAAGGGGATGCCGGGCTCTGGGATTTGAGGGCTGCCGCTGCTGCCGCTGCCGCTGATGCTGCCGCTGCTAGGGCCACTGGCGCCGCTGCTGTTGATCCTACTGGCGGCGCTGACGGGAGTTCCTCGCGTGTGTCGACAGCACGCCAAAGGGTTCGCTGCTGGTCTGGCTATGTGGCAAAGCTGCATTGCGGGGGTCAAGCGGCCCGCGCACCTGCAAAAGCGTTGCGAGCGACAGTGATGGCGGCGACACAGACAGCGGCGGTGCACGCCGCAAAAGTGGTCCTGCGTCCTGCCACGAGCGATGCACGGCTCGGTATCATCACATGCTCAACGCGCTTTCTAAGTCCAACGTCCCTCCCGGATCGCGGAGGGCTCAGCACTCGCATCCGTGTCGGCAATGGCAGGTTGTTGCCAAGCGTCTCTGGGGCCACGTATGTTACGGGTAGGCGTGGGTACTCTTTTGATGCAACATACACTTCCCAAGGGCTCTCGCCTATTGAGCACCACTGATCCATGCCCCGCCTGGTCAGCTGGTGTTGCGTCACCGCCGACGCGGGCTGTCACCACGCAAACGCCATGGACATGTGCCAAAGGAGCAGTGAGAGAGAGCTAACCCTACATTTACCTGTTTAGGTTCTCTTACCTTGGCTGTATTCGGCGCACCTTTGGCATGAACGTGCGAGCCGCATGGCAGCATGCATGCAATTTTAACCTGCGCCCTCGACTGCTGTCCCGATCTGCCCGGGTGAGTGCCGAGCACGCTCGCCACAGCCTCCACTTAATAACGTCGCACGGTCAGTTGCAAACCTCCTGCGCGGCGCGAATACGCCGGCTGCGCATGTTGCATCCGACGGATGTTAGGTCTGCTCGCGTTGACCCAGCTTCGTGTGTAGATATTTCGGACTGCTGTGTACCCCCCAACCATGGACGGCCTTTGGAGGAGGGTAGTGCTCCCCTGAAAGAAATTGCACCGCTGCGCTTGTCCGTCCAGTGCATAAGTAGAGCCGCAAGTCGCTGCAGAAATTGGTATTACCAGCCAGGGGCCAAACCATTGGGGCGGCCTTGCACGCCCTCCGATGCGTTGCAAGCCAGACTGAATCGCAGTTGTTGGGCACAGACTCATTGCATTCATTGGTGCTGCCGTGCTGCCGACTGCATGCACCCAACTGAGTGCACGTTGGTGTTTGCGCGTGCGCATGTTGTGTGTGCATCTGGAGGGTCGTCGTGAAGCCATGAGATGGTGCATCAGCAAAAATCAGTCCAAGGGGATGGAGCGCAGCGGGCCCAGCACAGGCAGGGCACGCCCAGCCCAGCCGTCCTAGTCAGCCCGCGTCTGCCGGCGTTGGGGGCGGCAACTCGTGAGGCGTGGCGGCCGGCGCCGCGCGCCGCGCGCCCGACGGCGTGCTGAGGCGCCGCAGGCCGTTGAGCGAGGGCGTGCGGGCGCGCGGGGGCAGCCCCGGTTTAGGGCTGGCCGGCCGCGAGCCGGCCGAGCTGTCCTTGATCTCGCCGTTTCCCGCAACAGAGGCTGGGGCAAAGCCCCCGAAGCCGCCGCCGCCGCCACCACCACCGCCACCACC